CCTCTCTGGGGCTGCAGTGGAGAAGTCTTTATTATGTAAAAGAGACTTAGCTTGGCCTTCTTAATGGCCCATTAACAGTGGGGATGGGCAGGAAGCTACAGGCAACTATTCTTTCAAAACATGTTTCTTTCTTTTCATATCCAGAGAAATATTCTGCCTTTTCAATATTTCCTAGGATATTTCATTTTTCTGGGAGAGGGCTGGATGATAACTTCCCACACATTTATGCTTCGTTGTGTTCTACTGATCTAGGTGAAACGTTAGTATAAATTGCTGGCCCATTCATGATATGCCATACGCTAAATGAGTCCATACCTCTTATTTCCCAGGGTTGGGTCTCTCTGTGTTTGTGCATGTGGATTCTCCAGGCAGCATTGAAGGGGGAAGCATCCTTTTTTGTGCTTCCAGGAAAGGGGTGGGGAGCTTAGGACTGAGTGGGCCAGACCCATGGACTGGGGGAATTACCAGGAACATTTTCCTCTACAGTCCCCAAACAGATGCACCCCATTTGTTGAGCCCAGTCTCATTTTTGCCGGCTTCTCTCCACAGCTTAAATTGGGTTGCCTCTTGTGAAGCTTTTGGAGAGTTATCCTGCCGTCCAGCAGGAAGAGACCACTCAGGCCCACCCACCTGGTCGCTTTCCAAGACTCCACTTGGAAAGTGGAATGAATCAAGAGAGGCTTCTTGTCAGTGGTGAAATTCAAATTTTTTTTACTACCTTTTTATTGGTTCTGTGGGCGTGGCTTGGTGGGCGTGGCAGGGGAAGGATACTGCAAAATGCCATTCCCTCCCCCACTCTGGGGCTAATCAGAGGTGGCATTTGCTGGTTCTCCAAACTGCTCAAAATTTCCGCTACCGGTTCTCTAGAACTTGTCAGAACCGGCTGCATTTCACCCCTCTATTCTCGTGCCCAGGGAAAGCAGCTCTTCCTCTCTCTCCAGGCGGTTACATGACTCCCGTCCTCCTGCCACAGCTGGGCTGAAGGCTTATTTGGAATATTGCAAATTTCTTTTCCTTGGCTTCGGCTGGATGGTATTCCAGGAGTGGAGCGTTTTTAGTTTAGTTTTTGTTTTTTTGGATAACCGATGGCCGCTTTGCAAAAGGGATGCTTAAATCTCCTGCGGCGATTTATATACATTAAGAAGTGCCAATGATTTGTAGGAAGGGAACTTCACCAAGACAGTGTTGCATTAGGTAAACCAGTACAGCACATAAAAGTCACTAGAATAACAAAGCCAGCATACATTCTAAAAGAAACCTCCCGAGAATAATTACCAGGATATCAGGACCATTAGGAATAGCTGCAGAGTAGGAAATAAGACGAAAGACCCAGGAAGGGCAGGAAGAAGTCACCCTCAAGCAAAAGGAAAAGGGCAGAGTGAGAGAAGTTTATTTAGATTTGAGATTTGAGAAGTTTATTTATATGCCGCCCTTTTCCCTGGGGGGACTCAGGGCGGCTTACAACTCAAAAAAGGGGGAGGGGGAAACAAAGACTGAATAGCTCAGGACAGAGATGTAAAATAGGAAACACAGTAGAAGAGATTTGTGCTCATCCCAGCTCCATGGGAAGTACTTCAGGGCAGAGGAGTAACAAAACGCGAGACAGGATTAGAACCATTAGCAAAGGTACACACAAAAGGTGATAAAACAATAATACAAAGAAAACAAAAGGACTTCAAAGAGGAAAATGGTATA